GGACATACAGTTCAGCCTTAGCATTTCTGCCAGTACAGAGTTGAGAGCATCAAATAAAAATAGGATTAGGTAGGTTCAAAATTAGTAAAGTGAAGTTCTTCATGTAACAAATAACAACCTTGCAAAGGAATTCAAAACCACCTGCGAAGGGTATTGTAGATGCTAAATTTACACCAATTTAAGGATGACATATTAGGCAAACTCATGAAAGAAGTTCATCAAAGGTTACCAAATACATCTGGCTCAGGATGGCTTACTCCTCCATGAGCTAACACCTGCAGAGGTTGGGAAAGAATTCTGAGAAGATATCACAGGCTACCATGATTCTTATTCTGCCCTAAATACCTACATATGGCCACTGCTGCTGCCCTCCCCTTAAAAATAGGATAAAAGTACACAGTGTGCTCTCTCCTCCAAAAAGAAGAGGAAGTGTACAGAAAGATATTTTAAAAACACCTGATGATTCCAAGTTTCATGGGAAATAAAAAAAGAAAAATACACAACAACAAAACACAATAAAACTCTCCAGACACCCGGTAGGAGAGACCTCACAGCACTGCTGAAGGCATCCAAGAAACCAGCAGACACATCCCAGGGGTGCTCCACCAAGAAATGCAAGAAGCAGGAAGAGGACGCAGCTGCTGGGCTTCCCCTTCCCCACTCTCATGCCTAATTTTGACTTGCTGAAAACTCAGGATGAGACGTGGACATCCTCATTTAATCCCCACGTCATGGTTCTCACCTCCTTAGGAGGCAGCAAGATCTGAATGCTGCACAAAACTCCAGCCTGAGGAATCCCAACATGCCTGCTCTGCTCCTCACTGTTTTATAGGGCCAAAGAGAGGTGCTGCGGATGATCCTGGTATTTTTTCTGGTCTTGCAGTGAGCAAGCAGTACACAGTGACCTCAAACAGACCAGTTCTCTGGCCACCACTCGTGCAGGGCAGTTGCCTTTGTGGAGCAGACAGTGCAGACACAGCCCGTGCAAACAGGAGCTCACCAAAGGATGGCCAAGACTCCCCACTTCCCACATCCAGAACACACATCTCTTTACAGCTAGGGCACTAGGCAGACTTTAACTGTGAGCCAGTGCAGCTGTTCCTGTGACATTAATTAGATTCCCAAAGAAACATCAAATGACACAGACTGACTCTGCTTCATTAAGCAACCAAGTTAATCGCAAATGTTTGCATAGTCATCATAACTCAGCAGAGGTGAGGAAACACAGAAAATTAAATTAAATGACGGAAAAGGTTTACTGTAAATTGCTTGCTGTCTGTAACAGCTGTAGAACTTCAGCATGAAACATGATTTTGAAGGCTCTTACACAATCCAAAGAAAACAAGCCTAGGAAAACATTCCAACAGCACAAAAGTATTTGAGTATTTTTGATGGAAAGAATGGAAAAACTTTATACATTTTGCTTAAAAGGTTTTTTTCTTAAACAAGACTGACATAAATGAGAAAGAAGGAGTTACAAAGGAAAAAGTAGAAATAAGAAAACGGAAAGAGTTAAGAGATCAGCATTAAAAAGAAAAAAATGTTTTTCAGAATGGATAAATTCCTGTTCTGTACGGTTTATGCAAGAAATTATGCGGTACTGAGAAATAAACATTTCTTTTTGCTACATTCTTGCACGTGGCAGCCCGCAAAACAAACGCTGTGCGAAACTGAAGTCCATCACTAGGAGGCACTATTTGGTGCTACAGCACCACCAGCTACTCAAAGCATCCTCCCAGCACCACAGCCAGAGGGAGAACCCCCGGCGCCCGAACTGCGCGGGCTAGCTGTGGGGTACCCCTTCTGCACAGCAATTTTATGTCTGGAGCGAAGCATTTCTACTCTGCACCATGTGATGGCTGAATGAAGTACTTAGCAGAACTACAACCTTGGGCTTTCCAGAACACGCTCTCCCTAGGATGTACCTGGACTGTTTTCTTGAGAAGAGCCCGAAGGCCATCTTCATGACGAGGCCTGCAGTCCCATCAGATAGCGATCTGCAAGCACAGCTCTCCCTGCAGTCAAGGAGCACCACCTGAGCACAGAGGAGCCTGCACACTCAAGAAAGGAGCATGTGGCTTCATTATACTCTCAAAACCAGCCTGTAAAGCAGCAGGGAATAGGATTACAGTGCGCTTTTCAGCATCAGCCAAGGATGCCCAGTCACAGCTGTTCAAGGCTGCGGGCAGCTCACAGGTACCATCCTCAAGCAGTATCCTCTCCAGAGTGAAGTTTACACAGCAGAAACAAAGTCCTGTTTACTTGAGAGACCATCACAACAATTCTTCTTAAGTAAGAGATGAAGCACAAGCTAATACAGTCACCAAAAAGACCTTTATTTTTTTTCCCTTTTCAAGATGATGTCAATGGGCAAAAAAATATTACGTATATAATATTTTAAGAGGCAAAACAAATTCTTTCCCTTTTAAATTTCTTTGGTGGCATTGTAAATGCTGCAATCAAGTAAAATGGAACCATTTGTAAAGGCATTATACAGATTTGAATAGTGCAGAAAATGGTTTGCATTTAGCAACTGCTTCTCAATTCATTATGATGTGACAAACCGGAGACAAAAGCTTTAAAAGATAAACACACAATTTGCAGTAAGAACTGATCTCATACTGGGTTAGTATATTACTGTACCTATTTCTCACATCTTTGGAAGTTAAACACTAGGAACAACATCCACAGTGGCAGGTTTCATATAACCTTTTTAATAGCATAAGAAACAATAAAACATAAAGTAGCGTGTTTGCAGTGTGGTTCAATGTATAGTAACTGATGAAAGGATTTTAAATTATCAAATAACCATTTTAATAATTAAATTTCAACTCACAATTCAGTTGTTCAACATTATCACAAAGCATTTTAATAACTCTATTACTACCTTCGTGTTTCTACTGCTTTTCTGCCCACTCATGCTTTGCATATGATTATCTGGAAACTACGTGCCATTTCTGGCAAGTACAGAGCACTTTTCTCCAGACTTTTTCCATAAGGATGCTCTCAATTCAGCAAAGTTTGTGTTTTTAATTTTTCCCAATTGCAATTTCAGGCACATTTTAGAAGAGCAATATTCATCAGGGAAACACAGAATGTTTTGGGTTGTAAAAGACCTTAAAGATCATCCAGTTCCAACCCCCCTGCCATGGGCAAGGACACCTTCCACTAGACCAGGCTGCTAAAAGCCCTGTCCAGATCATTCCTATAGCTAATTAAGCCAAACTCTCAGACCTCATGAAAACTCTTCTAGTTTGAGGGAGGGGGAGAAAGAAAGTTGGGCCTTTTAACAATTAAAGTGTTTTCCTTCAAATTTGGGCCTGCAACTTCTAAATTGTACAGTGTCTAAATGTAACCATTTACATTTGTAAATATAATTGGTAATTTCAGCAAAAGCCTGTTCACCTATTTTTTTCCTTTCCTCCTTAAATAAATTCATGCTAACTTCAGCGTCGTTTACCAAGATACTGTGTATGAACAAAACTTGTAACAGGCAGAAAATTAGTTAAAAGAATGATGAACTGCAGCTTTCTTCACAACGTAATTATTGTGTACTAAACAACTGCTTCTTGAAGCCCAAGTGATTTATATGGTACTTCAATATACAAAATGGGAATAAGCATTCTGTTCAGAGGAATTTCAAAAAATGCAGAAGCAGTCAGGCTAAAATCAAGCAGTTTCTGACTTCATTTCAGACTCCATTCTCTAGTGAGAAGGAAAAAGACCTCATACTTCGAGATCCTATACGAATAAATGGGGGGGGAACACCCAATATTATTTTCTGCACAGCGTTTATTAAAAAAAATATAAGGAAGAATAAATCCTGCAAGGGGTCTGTTACTCTGTGAGAGGTGCGCGCATTTACAAGACTTAAAAGATGCGAACTAGACGTTTTTCTGATCCCTTAAACGAAACACGAGGAATACTGTAAGGGTAACACCTTACACTAGTCAATTCAGTATGTTACCACCTCCCGAGGCTTCATTTACCCCACTGCTAGCACATCACCAACCTGTTAACCCCGCGGTCGCCGGTAGAGGCTTCAGACACACGGACCGAAGCTCCGTCTTCAACGTGACCCATGAAAAACAAGCACACGGGAAAAACTCGCTGACCCGCAGCAGCCCTTTGGAGCTACGCTACCACCTCTCCAGACACAAACACAGACCGCAACACCGCACCACCGCTGCCTGGCTCGGGTGCGGGATTACCCTTTCCCATCAGCGCTCGGGGCTCCCTCCCTCCCCGCTGCCCAGCACCTGCGGGCGGCGCCTAGGGCTCCGCATCGGCAGCAGCCACTTCCCGCGGGCTGCGCCAACGCTGTCCGAGGGGGGGAGCCGTTGCGGAGACGCCCGGAGCCAGCCGCCCCGGGAGGGTGAGGGGCCCTATGGTTGTTAGGACAAAGGCCTCGGTGCCGTTTCGCTGCCCTCCGTCGCTTCTCCCGCCGCCACCCGCTTTCCTTCCGCCGCTGGTCCCCACCCGCCGCTCCGGAGCACGATGGTTTCTCCGGGAAGCAGCCGGTCTGCTGCCGCCGCTTCCTCCCTTCCGCGTCACCCTCGTACTGGGCCACCGCGGAGAGCGCTGGGGTGAGGCCGGGAGGGTCCGGGTGCTGCCGGTGAGGGGGCGGGGACGAGCTGTGGAGAGTGAGCGTTGGGAGACGCGTTCGAGCCAGCGACTGTTCGCGGCAGCCGTTGGGGCGGCAGCTGCTGAGGGGAACCGATGGCGTCGTCTCTTCGTAGGGAGGGCGAGAGCTTTTAGGCTCCATGCGCCCTTATAGCCCAGGGCGGGATGCTGCTTCAGAACAGAGATCAGCCTTCTGGGGGCAGAAATAAAGAGTATTTGTTTTTTAATTAAATCTCCTGAGTGCTGTGCTCGCTGGAGAGCTGAGCGTGTCGGCCGAGCTTGATTCTCCCCACACGCCGAAGCTTAGGGCAAGAGGTGGCTGCCGGGTTGTTTTCCAGTCACAGCATTGTGTGGTTAAAGCTCAGAGGGGCTACCTGTAGGTTTCCCCCCGTCAATACCTCCCACCCAAACTAAAAGCATAATGCAGTCTGCCCCGGTTCGTGTTATAAAATCTTAAGAGCCTGCTCCTCAGCTCTGTGTGATGGAAACATTAGCAGGCTCAGCAACAGGTAAATTAAATGACAGTGGTAGCAATATAATGGACCAAAGTGTGGCCATTGCTCTGTGTTGTTCAGACCCGAGCACAGCCCGAGTGCTGCAGCTGAAGGTGGCTTTTTCTGAGTAGTTTTTTTCTAGGGAGATGAGCAGAAGAGGCATGAGTTGGTTGCTTTCCCTTTTTGCTTAAAGGAGTAGGCAGCAGACGTGAGCTTTCAGGTACAACAGACCTGTAGTATATTTTGGGTAAAATTAAATACATAATAGTAAATGGAGGTCAGACAGAACTTACTGGCATGAACAGAAAAATAGCTTGCATTGATTTTCTCGTAGCTTTAGGGTGGTTTTAAATAATGCAAGACAAGGCAAGGAAGAAACCCATCATCATACAAAATGGCAACTAACTGTCAGGTGCCAAGTATAGGCACTTCAGAGTTTGTTCAGGTCAACTGAGTTGTGTTTCTCCTTTCCCTATTTAATATTGTACTCATTTATTGTCCGCCCATCTGTATATCCATACAGTGCTCTTTCACAGGCTTAACAACAGCTTTCAAAACCTCACTTTCTTCATGTAGTTTCCTTCTTGCAGGTGCATGTATCAAGAAGGGATCCCACACAAAAGCTATCATTTTGAAGACTGAAATTCAAGATTAACTTATGTCTTATTTTAGTGACTTTTTTATTTAGGAGTCTATCTTTCATTTGTTTGCATTTTCTACTTCAATTTTTTCCTTCTTCATTAGGGAAATATATTGATGAGAGGAAACGAAGTGTGTAAGAGGTGTTTTCTGTGAACTTTCATGTTAAACTATAGTACATTTTTTAAGAAGTCCTGCTTTTACTGTATTTACAGTATTTATTTTTCTCCTTAGCATCAAATAGCCAACATGTCCAGCAAAAAGGCAAAGACAAAGACCACCAAGAAGCGCCCTCAGCGCGCCACTTCCAATGTGTTTGCGATGTTTGATCAGTCGCAGATTCAGGAATTCAAGGAGGCCTTCAACATGATTGACCAGAACAGGGATGGCTTCATTGACAAAGAGGACTTGCATGATATGCTCGCCTCTCTTGGTAACGTCACTTTTCTGTTTGTGGTTGACAGGCAAATTTGTGCAGTTAGAATAATGGAGTCTGGGATATGCTCTTCAGGTTACTTTTAGTTTGAAAGCTAAACCGACTATGAATCCCTTTATTTGTAGGAAAGAATCCAACAGATGAATACCTAGATGCCATGATGAATGAGGCTCCAGGCCCTATAAATTTCACAATGTTCCTCACAATGTTTGGGGAGAAATTGAATGGCACTGACCCGGAAGACGTAATCAGGAATGCTTTTGCTTGCTTCGATGAAGAAGCAACAGGTACATAGGAGAAACTCAGACACTTGGGGGGGGGGGGGAGGAGGGAGATGGTACTTTTGTGTTATTTGGATTTCTAAAAAGTATGCTGATTTTTGGACCATTATAAGTGAGGTATGACACAGTAATTCTAGATGGCACATTCTACCAAGTAGTAAGAATTTGACTTTTACTGAGTGTGAGTAAAAACTGTCTGGCTGTTCTGTGTGAGTACTGAGGTCTATTAGCAATGTTGTTCTGTGAGTATTTGAATAAAAGTGTTTTAACTGGGCAGCATGTATGTTCATCTGAGTGCAAAATGAGATATGTTTGCTCTAAGGATATGAGGAATTCAAACTGGAAATATGTGATTTTCTACAGCATTAAAAAGGTAACAGATGTGAAATCTGTATTACAGCTGAGTGTGTCCAGTCCCTGCAGGAGGTCTGAGATGCATCCAAATTCTTCAATGTTTCTAGTATTTCAAGACAAGGTGTCCAGGCTACATAAACTCTTTTGAAACCTCATTTTGCCTTGTGTATGTTACAGCTCTCATGGCAAATGCCATGTGTCATGCCCTCACCTGCAGCTCAGTTTGTTTCCAGGTTGCAGGAAAGGCTGTACTTTAGTGATCTGAAGATAAAAACCAGGTGGCATCTAGAAGACAGAAATTACAGGTTGAACTGACTTGCATAGCAAGATGGGGAGAAAGGAAAAGGCAGATCTGTTTTACTGTGTCACACTTAAAATGTTGCACCTGTAATCTAGAGGGTAGAGCTTATTTATTATTCATGTAGGCTAAGATTCGGGAGAAGTGTGTAGCAAGTGAGGGTGAATCCTTAGGGCAGTTCTGTGGAATCACAGGATATCAGCGCTTTGACATGCTGTGAACGACTTGCTAGTGCATGCCAAAATTACGTAGCATCTGTACTAGAGATGTCACCGTACCTATAACTTACCTCACAACTCTCCACAGTATTTCAGTCTAACCTGTGGATATGTGCTCTGAACCTTTCAAATGATATTATTCCATTTCAAACAGCTATTTTCAGTCTGTGTATTTTTAGCACCTTTTGCCTTTTCAAAGAGCATCCCTTCCTGCTGAGGTGTAGGTAAACAGGCCTTCTGTTGGTAAGGCCTTTTCAAATGTTAATTGACTTCCTCCCTGTGAACGAAGATATCTTTACCATCTCCTAGAGAAGGAAGTTTTGTTAATAGGTTAATTATCTTCTCTCCACAGGTAGTCTGACTCACTGTGCTACAGGTTTTTTTTTGTGTGCACCAAAACAAGAGCCTGCGAATTACCATATAAAGAAAATTATTGTGCTAACAGTTCTTTTGAACAGTAACTTTCTACGTCTATGTAAATAATAAGTTACTAGTTCAGGCCCACAGGTACTGATAAGATTGATCTTATTATCTTTCAACTCTGTGTGGTAAATGTTTTAGTCTAGTCCTAGGATGATTTGAGGATAATGGTTCCACCGCCATCCTGAAATGTTAACCAGAAAACGTGTTAGATAGTTATGCTGTTTTATTGATTTTCAGTTCATAGCAGTCAAAATACAGTCTTCAAAATTTGTATGTATTTGTGATGTATTTGTAGAACCCATATCATGTTTGCCTTTTATTCATTTTAGTCTCTGAGTTCCTTCTGATAAGTTTGTTGTTTTTAAACATAAACAAAAGGGTTTCCAGTTATGTCAAACCTTTTTGGTTTTGTTTTTCCACTTTGTACTCTCCATGAGTGTGTGTGTGTTACTGGCCTTTCTAGCTCTACCTTAGTGTAGTTCTTTTGAAAGAGTATAATACAAATCAGATCCTCTTGATGAGGACAAGGCAGTTGTACTTGCTGGTTTTTACTTACATTTCCTGTATTGCAAATCTAGTTGAGTATATTGCTTTAGCATTACAATCATGTGTAGTACTATGAAATTATTCTATAGTATTATAGTATATAATAACTATAAATGATAACTATAAAAGTTATATCTGTCTGCATTTGTTATGTCTGATCTTTGATCCTGCATTGTCATCTGTTTTGTGTTGCCTGCATCTTAATTTTTGCTTCATTAATTTGTTACTCCCCATCTACACCGAATCTGTGTGTGAGGGAGAGTGGGTTTGCTATTTGCTTTACAATTTGGTGCTGCTAAAACTTTTAGTGTATTCCTAGTCTAGCAGCCTAGTTCAGTGTTTAAACACCTAGCTGCTCAAACAGGAGCAATCTGTCTCCTTGAGGCTAAACTTGGAGCACCAAAGGCTTTGCATTCTTTGAATACTAATCCTTTTGTCATCTCTCAGCACTTGGTCTCTGTAGGACTGCAGAAATAGAAAACCTAATCTGTCTCGCTGCTTTTCCCCCTTCTTTATGCACATCTGCTAAGAGACAACTCCAGAGTTTGACCTGATTAAGATGAGTCTGGCTAATTGAACATTCCCCGAATTTTTGAAGTAGAACATGGCTGTTAGCCTTCTTCATTTGGAGTCAGCAGTCAAGGGTTTGCCTACACTGGGATATGATGCTGGTTTAATTAGCATATGTTGAAACACGTTTTTCCCTTCCCTGCAGCATACACCAACCCCATGATAATTTGCCATGTTCACTGCCTTTCAGTCCCGATTCCCTCTTTGGTTTTGTCTCTCAAATGAATTTTGTTTGCTTAAGTTATTCAACTCTCTTTCCAAAACAGAGCTACTTTTTTTTTTTCTTTTTGTCACATTCTCATTGAATCTACATCAGTTGATGTGGGTGTCTGCATATGATTTCCAGCTGTTCTGCACAGTTTACACATTCTTTTTTGGAACATACTTCTACCTCCTCTATTCCATTATTGATATTTCTCCAACTGAAGTTCAGTAACCAATTTCTTTATCAAATGAAGCAACTATTGTGCATTTAAAAGCATGGTTGGTCTTATTTCAACATTAATTGGTTTCTGCATTCTTCTGTCTACTATTTACTACTCACATTCCATTTTTTCATCTCAAAACTTTCCTGGAATTGTTTGGCAACTGGTGGTTCTACCCATCTACTGAAATTGAATTAACAGGACATACTTAGCAACTGCTTTCTTCCAAAATCATCTGCTAATATTTTTGCATAAATAATTTGATATATTGTACCTTTTTCTTTACTAGCTTCTCTGCCTCTACATCTCAACAAGTAAACATTCTTCCTCCCTTCTGAGTTAACTTGCTCAATCCCATCTGAAAGTCTTTTCTGTTATAAACTGTCCCTGGACACTTGCCAGCAGCTCTGTATCTACGTAAACCGCCTCCAGTAACAGTATTGTGTAGAGTGAAGAGCCAGCCAATGGTTATTTAGTCCCCAGAGGAAACTAGTTTATAGAGGATACACAAATATATCTAATTAAGTCAAGAAAAATATAATTGAATTAAGAGAACAGCTTGTGTAAAGAAGACTAGTAGTGGCAGGAACTTGTTTTTCCACTTTCAGCTGTTAAAGATCAGTGGGTGGAAATAGGTGTTTACCGGATCACAGCAGATCAGGCCCTCATTTCAAAAATCTGTATGAATTGCATTAAATGTCCCTCTCCTCCCCTTTGCATTCAAGGAGTTTCTTTAGAATCCAGTAAGAAAATATTTTGGACTCTTGGTGCAAACACGTATTAGCAGGTCTGCCAGTATGTCTGTTCTACTGGTTTGGAAGGCTTGGCTAAGAAACAGCTTCCCCTTTGTGTTTCTTTCTAGGGTTCATCCAAGAAGACTACCTGCGAGAGCTGCTCACCACAATGGGAGACAGGTTCACGGATGAGGAGGTAGATGAGTTGTATAGGGAGGCTCCCATCGACAAAAAGGGGAACTTCAACTACATCGAGTTCACACGCATCCTGAAACATGGAGCAAAAGACAAGGATGACTGAGCAGATCCTCAGATAACTGCAGATAGCTTTCCCCTCCTCTCCCTTCCCCCCCCATTAGTTTTATTTCTCAGGATCTGTTTTCTCTTTTTTTCTGTTGGGACCTTTTGCATACATTTTTAGCGTTCCAGCTTTTTACCTCTGTGGACTCTGGGCCTGCTCAGGCACACCTGTGCCTTTGTAGTAAGATTGTACATGGACCAGGGAGGGAGGACAGCTTACAGTGATAGAGGTTCAGGGACAAAGTGAGTGTACAGGCCCAGGTAAAAATGTCAGTGCTACTCACTCTAGGTAGATTCATTTCACAGTTTTGATGGTAGCTTTTCAAATAAAACACTGCTATATTAAGCTCATCATTAAAATTTTCATGCTAGAAGTGGACTCTAATCATCTGTAAATATTTTTGCAACTATATGCAGTTGTGTTGTTACCTATTTTTGCCTTAAAAATGAAGCATAAGTCACTTAAGTATACTGATGTTTGTACTTCAGCAACTTCACTTACTACTGTGAGCACATACAATGAAGAAACCCTGTCCTTCAAATTCTACTATGTTGTAAATTAATAATTTCTGTCCAGGACTTGCACATTAAACATTTTAAATCCTATGGATATAAACGAGGGGTTATTTTACCACCTTGGCGCCTCCCTTTCTTGATGACACTGAGCACAATATAAATACTGCTGTTAAAAACTTCTGTAGTAAATCCTGGTTTTGTCTTTAGAAACATACCATATACGAGTAGAATGCTTGAGTGATGCCTCTTACCAGATCTGCAGGACTAACAATATAGATTTCATTACATTTTGTTGCAGCCTCTTTTTTTTTTTTCTTTCTTTTCCTTTTTTCAAATCACAATGAGGATGGGTCTGGATAAAGAGGGGAGGTGTGCTCTCTCTGTCTGAAAATTACACTATTGCTTCCTAAATGAAACAATGTACAATATATTTTTAAGAGCTTCTGCTGAGAGTGGTGCTTTGGGTGTGTGAAAAGGAGGCATTCCTTTTTGTTCTATTTCTCATAATTATATCCTCCAGTTCCTGTGGTAGGGATGCGTAGCAGATTGGCTCCAGAAAGCAACTTTACCGTGATCAGAATACTTGTGGTTTTAGTGTTCTGGCCTTGAGAGAAAGGGTGATCAATGCTGCTTCTGTCACTTCGAGGAATTACATTGTTACCCCTTCAGGATAAATGTCACTTGGTGGAGAGAGTGCTGAGTTTCTTGCTAGGCTGCTTTTCTGAACTGAACTTGTATTAAACTTCGTTAGAGGACAGTGGTTATTTTAGAAACAAACTGTTCTTCCATGAGTAACCTACGAGGGCTGTCGTCTTTTGAGGACAGTGCTGTAGAAGCCGTTCACTGGTACCAGTAAGAAAAAGCTGTGCAGTTTCTGCTCGGAAGCCTGGGCTTGGCTTTGCTCCCCAGGGAGCCAGCCGGGGGCCTGAGGCCAGTTCCCAGCGCCATCGGTAGGTGGCATCGCAGCTCCCGGCGCTGGCTTGGCTGAAGGGTAAACGGTTCCCAGAACAAGTTTGTCGTTGACTCCCGAAGAGCTCGCTTGTTGCCGTGTACAGAGATAAAAAAGAGCAGTTCAGTTCCCACAGAAGTTCTCCTCCTACCACAACAAGGACTAGTGCTGCCGGGAGTTTTCAAACTGCAGCTTTTGTATGGCAGTAATCGAATTCATTCATTACAGAAGTGAGTAAAAAGAGGTTATCTGCCAGCCGTTGTTACAGTCATGGATGTACAAATGCACATGTGGTGTATGTTTGGAAAAGATTGGGTTTCAAAGGGATGTAAGGCCTTCCTTGTAACTCAAACCAGATACACATTCGTACATTTCATTTCTCAGCATCTCTGTAAGCACCCTTCTTGTTCTGTAAGATCAGCTTTGAAAAACTACCCGCTCCCCATTCAAATTTATATGTTTGCATAGCTTTGTTTACATATGAAAGACTAAAACTTGTGATACAAACTGAACTGTTGATGCTGGGAGTGAGGCAGCTGGTATTTATCTACAGCAATAAAAGGCAGTTGTTAAAACCCCAGTTCTCGCTTCTGGGCCAGGGCGATGATGTTGCCATATAGCAACGCCTATATGCTGTTTGGTCTTGCGATGATGAATGGTAATTCACTAATGCTATTGTTCTTCCCCTTGCCTTGGGGACAATCTTTGTTTTACTCTCCCAAGTTTAGTGGCATTTAATGCTCATAAAAACATGTCAGGGAGACTGATAAAAACTGACTTCTGGTAGGTAGTTCAGAGGCCTGGGATTTCTCTTGCGAAGACATTTTAAACCCCCACTCACCTCTGATGCAGAAGGTGCCTTGAAGTCTGTGTCTGCCTGGAACCAGTAACACTGGTTTTAGAGACTAATTGCAGTTCTCACTCCTGGCAAAACCCTAAGAGCCACACAGTCTCCAAATGTTCTCATTGAAGTGGGTCAGCAGAACGTGAAGGCGTTTGTGGGGGGATGCCTTTCTCTTTTTATTATTATTAATTCAGTTGTTTTGTAGCTAGGCCACTTGAGTGGAGGGCTGAAACAATGTGGCCTTCAATCCTCTCAGCTAGAAGAGAGAATTAAAAGTAGGTCTGCAGTATTCAGGCTGAATGTTAAACCACTGAACAATTGAAGGAGGGAGGGTGGAACCATCACAAGCGGCTGTTTCTAATTGTGATTCTTCCCCCCCTCCCCCCCTTATTTTTTTTTTTTTTTTGGCAAATGAAGGATCTTGGGCAATGATCCCAGCAGAAGGGATTAAAGTGATCAATTCTACCTGAAGAAAGACTCTTTCCTGTTCTTCAAGGTGAAGTTCCCAAAAGCTGTGATTCACAAGCAGGGCTAGTATGTTTGTTTCCTGTGGTTGCAGGGGCAACAGAGCTGAACCCTAAATGAGTTTTAGCTTATAAACCGTTTCCTCTCCAGGGCTGTTTGTAAACGTCTTCCTCTTTAGGGCTATTTGTGAGAAGCAGTGCCTGGGAATCACCAGGGAACTGTCTCGCACATCCTGTATCTGGCCTAACGCGCCCCCCCCGCCCCCCAGCTGTCAGCGCAGGTCAAAACAAGCGAAGGTTGCCCCTGCCTTTCTTCTGCTTTAATGGGGTGTGCTGTGAGCTGCCATGGCTCAGCACCTTGTTATTCTTGAGCAACTCGTCCACCTCCACCCTAGGGGCAGTCATTTTGTAAGCTGTGCTGTCCCTGCTTGTGAGTTACAGCCCAAGCTCACGTAGAAAGAGCAGTGGTGACTCCTTACCTCTGCCTCAGTACTTCTTGTTGGTGAGATTCAGCAGATCCTTACTCAGTGTGCTTGCTTTAATAGTTACTAATTTTAGTGCCTAACTCCCCTAGATGGGGAGAGAGCAGCATCTGTCAGTCTGGCAGGCATGCCTCACTGTGAATAGTACCAATGATGTCAAGCGTTCTTTCCTGTCACCCAGATACCAAGTAGGGGGTATTTAATATGACGATATCCAAATGTCAAATAGAATGATACTTGGTCTAAAAAATGTGAGCGTCTTACGAGAATTCCTATCACCAGGGCAGTGGTGTCTAAATGCTAGGCGCTTGGTATGACCTTTGTGGACTGTTTGCAGGCATGGTTTATATCGCTATTCAAACAACCTTAGCTAATTGCTGACTCATGGCTAGTTCCACTCAACAGATCCCATTGCCAAAGTATAAAACTTGTTTCAGCAGCACTCATTAGCTGTGGAAGACAAACCTAACTAGAGTTCCTCTGTAATCACCATGAGATCAGAGGTCTCATGTAACCTGAGTGTTTAAGAACGTAAAAAAGTGTCCACACAACTTTAACAGGGATGCATACCAGGCCCAGCAGGCTTCTTTCAGTGAGGAGGTAGGAGTTGCAAATTAAAGATACTTGCAGCTGGAAACTTCCTTTTCAAATAACAGCAGGTCACTGTGACACTGGAAATGGTTGCTAAAAGCTACAGCGAGACCACAATCATTGCATGCTGCTGTGCCCCCCCCCCCCTCCCCCCCATATATACAAGGTTTCCTGAGAAATCTGCTGAGCTCTGTGCCCCACAGCCTTAGGGAGCTTCAAAGCTACAGGGCTGGAGTCAGTTAAAAGGGGAGTTGACAAGCTTCATGTTAGAAAGATAAGCTCGTGAACTTTGTGGTACATATTTTGAAGAGAATTAAATGGAACAAAATTACTTATAGTTGGTTCTTGTCTGTTTCTTTTACTGATTCAGGGGATAAGGTATTGTATATGTATTAGAACCTGAGACACATGTTGTGCAAAGCATCAGTGATGACAGTTATTGCTATCCGGTTGGCAAACAGGGGAACTTGGCTATGAATCTAAACCCTTCAACTTTGCTTGCCCCCTCCTCTGCTAATTAAAAAAGGTAGTAATGTAATTCTGTTGTCAGAAGACAACATTTCTTTCAGACCTGTTTGTTTGGGTTTTTTTTTTAACTAATTCAACACAATCTTAGAATTTAACTTGTTTCTCTGCTATAATAGGTGTAGGTACACACACTGCATTGGTCTCACCAGTGTTTATTGTTGCTTTTTAGTATGTACATTGCCTCTTTACATAGGTGGGGCAGAGAACAGCAGCACTGTTACAACTGTATTTGTGGAAGTCCTACTACATGGTAGACCTACGGCAAAGAAATCGTCAAACTTGAATGAAATGGTGAGGAATATACTGCAAAAATGCCAAACTCTGATTCACTTACCGGAAGATGACTGTAGGCCACCTGAACTGCAAAGAGGAGGATAAACTGTTGCCATGGAGTGCTGGTTAAAACTGCGTGATTATCAGAAACCCAACCTGGTAGCAACTAGAGCCAAATTTGGAGGTAAGTTACAATGTGGATGGATGGGCCAGCCATCAGAAGACAGGGATGAGGCTTGTAGGAAGTACTTGAGTGTACTCTGTTCCTGTTGAAATGCATGTAGCCTGCAGCCCCTAACATTTTCTGCCCCAAACTCCAGACACAGAATTTTGGTAACTGAGGAGCCATCTAAACTGATGAGTACTAAAATACCAGAAAGACGAGAGAAGATAAGGGCTGAAGCACTGAAGTATTTCCTGATGCAGCTGATCAGAGACATGACTGTCTGTTGAGATCCCAGTAGTCTGCCTTCTACAGGGGCTGGACACCAATGTCTAGGCAACTCTTTAGGTAGCTCCTTACTTTAGCAATGCACAATAGCTCTTCCAGGGTTGTTTTATATGTGATGTTTCACCCATTCCCCTTCTCACCCCCCTTTCCTCCTGTCCTTTATGCAAACACTCAAATGCCTTCCACATGTCCAGGGGCCTGGACAGGGGTCTAACCCCTCCTATTACAAGCTTTACACATGCCTAAGGGTTGGGGCCCTGAAGTGAGAAAGGCATTCCCTTCCCTGCTTTGTGTACCACACCTTGGGCCTCAGCTTGAGATAAGATTCAAAGCAGCTAATAAGCTGTAAGGCAGGCTTTGCAAATTTTGATGAGTAAAAATTCAAGCACCTCCGGGATTAAGGAGCAATTCAGTGCTTTGAAAATGCTGGCAGTATCTAAATGGGACATCAGTACCTCATAGATTTCAGGCTCTTGGCTCAAACCAGATTCTTGTGCACATGGCTGGA